TGGAAAAGAGAAGGCTGGGAACCACCTCACTTGTTAAGATGTTGCCTGGAGGGATTTGTAACTCTGTCACTCAGCCGCTTGGAAGATCTGGGTTGAAGAAAGAGGTGAACCATGAGCGGACCATGAGGAAACTTTCCAGCCTGGGGAAAGTAATGTGAAGACAGTTCTGTAATGTGGGTGGGACTAGCCTTTAAGAACTCCCTGTGAGCAATGCTGTGTGTGTGAATGAGGGACATTAACCTTCAGACGTTCTGTGGGACTGGCTCTGCAGAAAGGAGCTGGAATCCAGGAGTCCTGAGTGTTGGTGCGGGTTCGCATCTGCAGGTCTCTGAGCAGGGACTCACAATCAAACACTAAACCTAGCCCAAACCCTAATATTATCCCCAACATGAGCCCTAACACTAACCCTACCCTAAACAAAACCCCAACCCAAACTCTAACCCTATCCCTAACTAAAACTCTAACTCTAACCCTGAGCCTTAACCTACCACTAACCCAGATCCTAACCCTAACCCAAAACCTCACCTTAAGCCAAACCTAACCCTAACCTAAACACTAACACAAACCCTAACCCTTAACTTAACTCTAACTACACTCCAGAGTTCATACAGAAAAACCTTCAAGTTTTGTTACTGCTAAAGTTTAGATACGAAGTGCCCCCTGCCAGGTCCCTGTGGTAAGGGACTTGTCCCCAACCTCACACTCCAGGGAGACCTTTAAGAGGTGGGACCTAAGGGAAAGTTTCCATGTCATTAGGATGGCCCAGGTGTCCTTCCTCGGGGTACCTGTCCTGCTCATGTTCCCCTGCCCTCCCCCACTCCATTGTATAATGACTGTGTAAGACCTTGGCACTGTGATTTTGGGCATCTAGGCTCCTGAACCTTAAGCCAAATTGTTTCTCTTGCTGATAAATAACTCATATTCTGTCAAAAGGTCAGAAAATGAACAAAAACCATTGTTGTCTTAGGCCTGCTGAGCAAAGACCAGATCACAGCACACCCCGCCCACTGCCTACCTCTAGCCACTGAAAAATCCCCAGGGGAAACTAGACAGGACAGACCATGCCTTGGCTCAGACACGTGAGAACACAGACATGCCCTGCAACCTCAGAGTCCATTATGAGCCATGGTTCTCAAACTAGTACCTGGCTTCAGGACTCCTCGGCCCAGAGTCAAGAGGGAGAGAGAGGAGAGAAAGAGAGAGAGAGAGAGAGAGAGAGAGAGAGAGAGAGAGAGAGAGAGAGAGAGTCAGTCCCAGGGCAGACAGGTTTCTTTTGTATATAAAATTCCCCTTCCTTCAATAGCTTTGCCTAAACCCTCTGTGTTATAACTCAATTTCTCTGTGGCTCTGCGCTAAGTCACAGAAAGCACCTCCTGCCTCCAGACACCAAGTTTAGAGACAGATGTGCATGCCCTTTGTTAAGATGTGTAGAAGTACGGGCCAAGAACCTGGTTCATCTTCCAAGGGAAGTGCTGAGCCATGTGGAAACTCCTTTTTGTACATTTGTGGAATTAACAGGCAAGCATTTGTGGGATGAGCAGGCAAGTGAATCCAGGAAACAGATAGAAGGAGAAAAAGCCAACTCTCTTTGGGGCTATCAGGGGATCTTTTATTCATTGTTCAAGTGGACAGATGAAAGTGGGCCGCTTGACGTGTGTAAAACTCCCTGTAACAATGTTTCATTCCTCTTGGTACGGCTAGTCCACAACTAGGAATTTATGCCCAGGGATGTGTCAGAGGAGTAACAGAAGGAATTTACACTCAGTGTGTTTGTGACAGTGGAAGTGAGCGCAAACTCACAGTCTGTGGCTGGGAACCGGGTGCTTCGATGGAACCCGGTTCCCGAGATGAAATACTCTGCAGCTGGCCCAGTTCTATCCTTAGGGCATGCGCTGTGCTGCTCCAGGAAGTGCATGTGGGGGGACTGAGGGGGAAAAGGACCTGACAGGGTCGTATTCAAGGTTATTTGGAAAGAGGCACACACAGAGAGAGAAACAGGAACACACACACACACACACACACAGAGAGAGAGAGAGAGAGAGAGAGAGAGAACAAATCAATGGCAATAGCAACAGCGTTTCTCACTGGTGTAAACTAAGAGGTGATTTTTATTTCATAGCTCTAGCTTGTCCAGCTGTAAAAAATCAAAGACTAAAGGTGCTCAGTGGCAGCACACCTGTAACCCCAGCCCTTGGGAGGCAGAGGAAGGCAGGGTGCTGTGACTTCAACCCAGCACGCACAACCTAGCAAGTTCCAGACCAGTCTGGGCTACAGAGTGGGACTTGGTCTTAAACAAATCAAAACAAAAAGTGAAAACCTAAAAAGCAAACTGAGCTCCTGGGTCCCACCATGGAAGAAGGAGCAGGGCAGTTCAAGCATTTGAGCGATGAGAAGTGTTTACCCTGCAGGTAGATGGGCCCTACACAGCCGCTTCCCCAGTCGCCTCCTCCAGGCAGGTGGACATTGCTTGCTGTGCCATCGCCTCCTCCTCCCTCCTTGTGCTTTAGAACACTTCCCAGCTGAGGCTTGGCCCTGGGCCCACGCTGGAGGAACAGGCAGAGGCCTTTGCTGTTAAGATAATGGTGTGTATTCTCTTGTTCATCATGGGTGACTGTGTGTAGTCAGGCAGAACTCTGGAAGCCCAGGATTTATTTTATCCCAGTGACCAGAGGGGGCGACCATAAAGATTTATTCAATGCTTGCTTCTATAAAGATGCCACAGGACTCAGAAACACTATGTGCTTTCATGTCTTGGGGAGTATTGTTAGGAATTCAGAAGCCAGGGCTGGTCAGTGGTTGGAAGGCCTCGGCTGTGCTGTGTGGTCTCAGCTGTGCTATGTATATAAAAGGCCACAGGCCTAGGTTTGACACTGGCACTGAGCATTGCTACCCTCTTCTGTGCACTATGGACTTTGTGTCAGCTAGGGGGTTCCAAATTCAGGCCTCTGGCACCTTCCTCAAGGGAGCCTGGAGTGTCTGCACCCCTGTTCCCGGCTCTCCTGCTGCATCGTCTCCCTGAGACGGTGGGTTGACTCATTCCTAGCTGCTGTGGGCTGAGAGCTCAGTGAGCTACGAGACTGGTTCTGGATGTTAGGAGAGGGGCTAGGAAAACCTTAGGAAGCAGCCTCCACAGCACCCAGCTAAGTCTTTATGGCCACACTCCAAGTGTTCCACATGTTTATAAAGATTTTTAAGAAATGCCTTCTTCAGCATTAGGGTCAGAGTGAGGCTTAGACTCAGACTCTGGCAGCCCCTATATAAAACACAAAGATTCCTTGGGAATAGGAATAATCTGACCTGCTAATTCAAGATGAAGGGCTCTGACTTTTCATGATGTCTTAGTCCCGAGGGCCTCTAGCTGACCACAGTACTGTGGTAGGCAGAATAGTAACGGGCAGGTTGACGATGCCCTCCCTGAGATAAAGGAATAGGAAAGAATGATGTCATGGGTTGGACATGAACCATCCCCACAGGCTCTTGTGTTTGAACATTTGGTTGTCAGTTACTGGCATGATTTAAGGAGGTGGACTTGAGAACATAGAACCTTTGGACTCGAGGCCACCGATGGGCCTGGAGAGCTTCCTTTCTGCTTCCCTGTAGGAACAATGACTGCCTCAGAACCACTGTGGATGAGTTACCCTACCTGGAGGGTCCACCATGATGGCCCATACACCATGAAGTCATGAGCTAAAATAAATCTTCTCTGAGGTTGCTTCTGACAGATAGGTGGTCACATGTATGAAACACACGGAAGGAGGCTAGAAAGATGGCCGCACACTTTGATCCCCAGAACCAACCCATGCTTTTAAAAAGCCAGGTGTAGTGGTGTGTAGTTGCAATGTTGGTACTGAGGAGGTGGAGAAAGGAGGATCCAGGCCAGTGAGAAATTCTGCCTTGAAAAATGTGGTGGAGGGTGCCGAGAAAACAGCATCCGAGCTTGACCTCTGGTCACACACATGTGTACCCCATACACACACACACACACACACACACACACACACACACACACACACACACGTGGACAGCTGTCTATAAAGACTGTGACTGTGCAAAAGACAATGCTGTTTCTCATGATGATACTTGTTGTCCTGGCCAGCGCTCATCAGTGGGCCCGTGTGAACTAAGGGCCATGTCTGACCCCAGGAGAACGGAGGGATGGGGGTCTTCATGGAGGAGTGGGACGACCAGAAGCAAGCCCCTCCATACCACGAGTTCTCTGTTCTCCCAAGGGAGTGAACTGTGCATGGCAATCCTCGAGTGTCCGGAGAAGGTGTCACTACCACTAAGACCCCTGATTTGGTTTTTATTTGTGGTTTCTTTGGTGACCTTTGGGGAGCCCAGGAAAGTCTTGCTTAGAATCTGAGAAGAAAAACGAGGGGTCTTAGGGACCCACACTCCAGGCAAGCTTGTCAGAGCAGGTGTCCTGGGCAGGAGCTAGAGCATGCGTTTGTCTTGGTGGCCACCCTGCCTGCCCCCTAAGACTGGTGCACCCTATGACTGGAGGTGTCCATTGCTATCTGTGTGGATGCCTGCCCTGGGGGGCAGGGGCTGCTCTAGGAAATGTTTGTACAGTCCTGATCTTTTTTTCTCCTTCTGGAATGTGCTTAGACATAGTTGAGTCAAATTCCAGTGTCACGAGGAAGCCTGTGTCTAGGCTTAAGTCATCCACAACCACTGCGTACACCCTGATTCTGTGAACAACAGAAATGCTGAACTGAGGTGGACTCTATACCATGCCTGTTGACTCTGGGATAGAGGACCGTTCCTGGGGTTTGGTGGCTTAGCCCTCACCTCCATCCATTCCTACCTGAGTCTCGTCTCCGATTCGTTGGAGGACAGCCCCACAGTGGAACTAGACAGGGAAATCCCAGAGAACCTGTGGGGCCTCGTCCCACCCCACCCGGGCTAAGGTGTAGCTTGAGCATGGTGACCCAACTTGGCCCTTGAATGGAATACCCTTGTGCACAAAAGAACCTGCTGGATAAAGAAGGAGGCGTGACTCTGGGGAGAATAAAAGTGAACATTTAATGCCACCATAGTTTGATTCTTTTAAACACCAGATTTTTTTTACAACATTTTATACCTCATATGCCACAAAGTCAGAGACCGTAGCCAGCAAACAACATCTTCACACCAGGAAATCGCACATAGCTTAATTGTTTCGTGTCACCAGCTGATGAGAACTATAGAATTCAATTCTTTTCTGGACTGCTCTCCAGACAATCTGTTCATATTTACCATGATCAAGCCAACAGCTAACTTTTATATAGTTATGTAAAAGCCCATACACAAAACCCAGCCTGCAAACAGACTGCTGGGGACCTGCCCAAGGCAGCGGAGTTAAAATTTCGACTATTGAAAAAATGACTGTGTTTGAAAAATTAACAGCAAACACTCGAGAGCTAAGAACTTAATTTTTAAAACAGCACCAATCCTCTACCCAGTTAAAACAGTGACTTTGAAACATCTGACTTAAAATGAAGGCGCATGGTCTTGTGACGTTGCCAATTCTGATACAAGCAATGCACTTGGGCAGGCCTTGTCTCCAATTCCCCAATGGGCCCATTTCTACAGATAAGCATATTGATATATACATACATACATCACTCATGTGGCCTCTCACAGCTAGAGCTGGAAGAACGGCAAAGATCCTGGACCACAATGTCCTCATTTTACAACCTAGAAAATCCGAGTTCCGGAGGAGTTGCTTGTGTGTCCCAGGCCATAGGTAAGTCTACTGTTGACAACGGAATTAGACTCGGGGTGTTTGTCTTAGGCCCCTCATCTGTGTTACATGCTCTCTGTACAGACACACCCATATGTCCACGTACTGGCACAGAGGAGCAGTGTGTGTTCACTCACATACTCTGGGTGCAAGGTGGTCTAACAGAGAGAGTCCAGGTGTCTGGGCTCTTGTCCCAGGTCTGCTGTGAGCCCCTTCTGTGACCCGGGCCAGTTAGTGACTGTGGATGTCATATTCTTCATCTATATATGGTCCTTCCCCACGCTGGGGAGAGCTTCCAAACCATGTGCCACCAGCTACACCATCCCTTTCCTTCCCATCTATCCCAGGAGGGCAGCTTTTATGACTCCCCCACACACTGTCTAATACAGGGGGACCCAAGGCCCAGCAAAATGCAGCAACCTACCCAAGGTTTATGGCTAGTGATGGCCCTGGCTCCCCACCTCCTAGCTCCATGCTTTTCCTCCCAGTTCTAGCTGCCTCTCAAATGAGACTACTGGCCCAAGCCCCTCTCTGCCTTTCAGAGATCCAGCGAGGGGACACATGCCGTAAGTTTTATGGGTTGTAAGACTCACTAAAGTGCTTTGGTTTCTTTAACAAATAGATCGTTACAACATCTATCCAAGGCGAGGACCTCTTGGGGGATCTCGGGGATGAGTAAAACAATACTGTCAGCACTTTCCTCAGGAGCTGTGTGGGGACCCAGTTGGAGGAGGCTGCTGGATCCTCTGCTACTGAGGCCCATGGAACCTGTTTTCCAATTTCATCACCACGCCAGCTTGAAAGGAAGAACTTGGTCTCAGTCCCTTCGGCTGCTTACTAGAGAGACAGCCAAGCAAAGCTCTGCGCTTGGAGGAGGAGATCCCACCTCTGGCCCTTCCCTGCCCCATGTCTCTGCTAATAGACTTTGCTGAAGTTAAAAAAAAAAAAAAAACAGAAGAAGACAAACACAGACTGAGCAAGCACACGCTCCAACTCAGAACACACGGAGGGCGTTCTTGACCGGGATGCGTACATAGATCCAGAAACACGAGTAGTACTATGGATAATTCTGAGGCGACAAACCAAGAATGATGTCGCTGCAAATCAATCCTGGCAGTGCAGGAGGCTGGCAGTGTGGCGAGCAGAGACAGGACCACTCCTCCGGGGAAGGCCACTCTAAGTGTACATAAAACGAATGCGTGACTCTGGGATCCGAACGCTCACTCCCACAACTGTGACACCGGAAATTGCTGTATGTTAGGCTTGCAACCTACCCACAGTGCCACACTGTGTCCAACACTGTGACATCAGCTCAGGATTTGTATAGGTTTCCCCACCCACACCCCAAGTAGAATGTGTTTGTTTAGAGATGGATAAATAACTCATAGGAATTTTCAAAAGAGCTCTTTTTTTTTTTGAGAGAATATATAGGATTTAAGAGAGTTTCCTGGGTTAGAATTCTGCTTTTATTCTTATGGAAATAACACAGAACGTTATTTTGAAATATGTTCTGTCGGACAAACCAGGAAGATGGCTAAAGGATACAGTTTGTAATTGTTTTACGAACGGCTTTGTAAAGCCGTAAAGTGGTTACAGATATTGTTCAGAAGACGAGAGAGGTATTCTGTGGGATGTAAAAGAACGCTGTGTTTCTATCACTTCAAAAAAAAAAAATAGAAAAAAATCTACCCATTCACCAATCATGTCTGTGAAACTTGTCCTCCGCAGTTTAGCTTGGCATGGAGTCCAGCAAGCGGGGCCGACCTCTCCCATTGTGGGGCTGTCCCTCCTGTGTTAGCACTGAGGACAATTCTTTCAACGTGGAAAGCTGGGCCAAGCTGCTAGGCAGTGGCGGTGGCAGGGACGTTCCAGGGACAGTAGCCGTGGATGGCTTTGTCAGCTTCTACTCCTAGAACACAGGGTTTTCAACCTGTTTCTAATGGGCCCTGGCTTTGGGTTTCAAAGATAAACTCCCCTAAAAAGGAGGAAATGTTTTTGCATTATGTCCAAGGAAAGAACAACATTCGGGAAATCTGTTCTCAATTCTGGAAGGAACTCGTTTTTAGTAATTTCTTTTACAGACCAGAATTCTTGATGGAATAAGGAACCCCAAAAAGCAGTCACTTCAGGCTCACGGCTCAATTATGGATCCGCAAAGGCCATGTTTGCACTGTGCAAATTGTGGGCTCTTGCCATCCCCACCTTTGCTATCGGGAAGTCAAGGTCAGACAGTAAATACAGATCTACTACCAGGGAGGCATGGGAATGAACCCAAATTAATGAGCAGCAAGAGACTCTGAAGGCCAGAGAAAGTGGCTGCTCCCTAGGGACCTGGGGTCCCTGCCCAGATGCTTTTCTGGCTTGGATGGAAATTAAGCACTCCCTGAGTGCATAGGTCCTTTTGAAGCGGCTCCCTGCACAGTCTGAGTGCTCCTTCCTGGACACAAGGCTGAGTCCTGACAAACGGGACCTGGATCCTGCCTGTTGAACGTTTCTGCTGCCCACTCCCTGCCTCTTTCCTGGGGCTGTGTATGGTGGTCTTCGCCCCAGTCTCTAGCTCAGGAGCCCTTCTCCAGCTTGGAGGTCATCGTTCGCTCGGGGTCACTGCTGCGTCACTAGGGGACCCACCTCTGCATTTGCCTTGTACATTCCTCGTGTTCAGAACAGCAATCGGAGTTGAAATCACATGTGCCAGTTTCAACTCTGCCGAGATGAAAGTGAGAGACGGCTTCCTGGGGTGTCCAGGAGGGTTCAAGGAGGAGATCAAAGCCTCCAGCTCTGAGGGGAGCCTTGAAAGCTAAGACAAAGCAGCAAGGCAGGCTCCCTGGGAGCAGCAGCACCCCTCCCCAGCCCCAGGTGAGATGAACTAAGTGGTGGTTTCCTCCTGGGAGAATGATGCCCCTGTCTCAGATTTTTACTCAGATATTTCGTTTTATTTTTTTCTTTCAGTTTTACCTGGCTGCAAATGCTTCTACCTCACATTAAATTCGTTGAAGTAGGGCTAGAGCTGGGGTGGAGGTGGGGGCGATGGACAGAATTTAAGGAAGGCCTATGTGCCTAAATATTCATTTTAAAGGGACAATCCCTGCCCTTCTATGGGCAGATAATGAAATAGAAGTGAGTTTCTTGACATCCTCTTTGCCTTCTTGTCCCCTCCCTTTGGTCTCCAAACCAACCCTGGAGCCACCTCCCAGCGGCACTGGCTTCAGAGGGTGGGCCTACTTCTTTGCGTGCCTAAAGATTTGCATTCCCACAGGCAGCTCATAGGCAGGGTGGGAAAGCAGGTGCATCATGGGAGGCAGGGGTTCTCCACAAGTTATCAGTTAAGATAATGCAATGCAGTAGATTGAGATGTTCACAGTATACTTTGGACGGGAACAGGATATGAGAATAAACAAGAGATACACATTATTTCACACAATGTCTCCCTGCACCACACCCTGGTAGATCCCAGAGGATGCCCTGCCCTGTGGATGTGGCCTCCTAGGAGGCTTACCTGGCTTGGTGAAAGAACCCTAGGGACACTGCCAAGCCACCAGTACTGTAGCATGAAGTTGCTTGGAATGTATCCAAACAGGTCTCCATGGGAGGTAGCTGAGGGCCTCTCCCCCCAAGAGAACCTGCTGACTGAGAGTCTGCTCTCTATGGATGAGTCAGCATGGTCTCACTCCAGCAAAGGCACTGGGCTCTGTTGGTGGCCTGCTAAAGCATTCCCCGAGGCCTGGTGACCTCAGGGTTGAGGGAAAAGGAAGCGGAGACTAAAGCCAAGCTCATAGATTACTAATCAAATGAATCTGCTCTGGAGAAGGGAAAAGAAATCCAGACATGCTCACTTTTAAAATCGTTCCCAAACCAAGGCCTTTCATGAAAAAACAAAACACAGAAGTATATTTGAAGCCAGCAATCAAAACAGATGTTCATAGTATTGGCATCTCTATGAGTCCAGAAGCTTCCAAGAACATTGCTGTTAAGCAGGCCCATGCACACATGTGTTGTGAGGCTGAGCTCGGCCCTGAGCCCAGGACTCCTGGAGAATGGTGCGGGGGAGGAGCTGTGGAAGATGTGGGGAGGCCCTGTTTCCCCAGGAGATGGGGAGGGGGAGGGAATGTGCTATTCCACAGCTCAGACCATTCAAGCAGCTTGGGATCCCTCTTCATAAGAGTCAGCTCTTAGGAATGTGTTAAGCGGTACCTGTGACCCATGGGGCAGGCTTTCGATCCACAGGGCTGACCTCTAGGACAGTCAAGCTGGTGGTCTCCTCTGAGCCATGTTCTGGGTAAAGGATCAGGTGCGATGGCACTCGTATGACCACGGCTTCTATGTGGTGCGTTCTGCTGGCCACATACCATGCTGCGCTGGGATACATGTGTCCAGAGAAAGGGCTGGTCCAGAAATTCAAAGTTCTTTCTCTTTGGGGAGCATCTGGGTTCAAGGAGTTGGTTAGTGGTAGGGCGTGGATGCAAAGTCCTCTTTCCAAAACCCCTAAGCATGTATATACACAGGCAGGCTGCGTAGGCTCCGGGAGAGAGAATTCTTGGTTTCCTTGGGAGGCTCCATTGTTCCAGCAGCCTATGGTCAGCCAATGCCTGGCTGTTGCATGTGTCAGCCCTATATCCCTAACATGGTCCAACGACCCTGAAGGAAGGGGAATAATTTGAGAACGAAGTCCTCAGTTTTAATGGGGAGCAAGATCTAGGTCTCCCCATTCATTCAGCTCTGACCTACACATCTGGGGTCCTAGAATTTAGAGATGTGGTTCCTCTCAGTGCCTCAGGACACCAAGGCCACAGGGACAAGCTACAGTGGCTTTAGGATAGACGAGAGCTAATCTCTTGCTAGTAGACAGGATTCTGGGTGACAAAAAGCTGTGCAACCCCAACCCCAAACTTCCTTTTTCTAAATGAATGTCAAGTCCCCGAACCCATGTAAGCCCAAGAGAGTCTCAACGCAGAAAACCTCCACTCTGTGTAACTGACATCATATTACATGAAGACAAAGAAACAGGTTCTGCTCAAGTTGTCCAAGCTTTCCATCCACAGGCTTTGGACTAGAAAGGAGCATGAACTTGTTTTGAGGGCCATGAATACATGAAACAAACAAGAACAGGCCACCCTGTACCCTTCCCCTTAAAGACATCCCTCCTCATCACTAATGCTCATGCGCACCCATTCCATACCCGACCCTGGAGCTGTTGGCTGACCTGCTGTTCATGGAAGGTGGCGGCTTCTGTCCCCTGCCCTCCTAAACCTCCCTGGGAAACACACTGGCTCATGCCAATGGAGTCTCCATGTTCTGAGTGGCCTTCCGGAACAACCATGAAAGACAGTTAACATTTATTCAGCTGCAACACTGATTAGGAAAAAGCACAACAAACACAACTTCTTGGGAACAAACAGCAAAGTCAGAACCAAGAGAAAACAAGCTGCAAATGCATTTCAAAAACTGGGTTGAGTTTTCGGGTTTTGTTGATTTCTCCTTGACTAGCACCATCTGGACACAAGAAAGAACGAACACAAATGTTTGGATAATCATAAAGATTTGCAAGGCACTTAATCCATCATTCTGGGTCGTCTTGGTGGTGTTCTGCTTTCAATGGCAATCCCGCGTCACCCTCCCCGTCCTCACGACTGCAAGGTAAGGATCTCTTGGCTAGCAGTCCTTATGTACAGAGTTCCTCAAGGTTCCTCCAAGTGCTTTCTCAGTCCCATGGGTTTTCCCATCACTTCCTCCTTCCACGTGTTGGTGTCTTTACCTTTCTTCCCTACAGAAAACAAAGGAAACATCGCCTTTCGCTCCTCGCTCACTCCAGACTTGCCACCAACCTTCATCCGCATCCTAGTGTCTTGAGCGTTGCCAGCACAGAGGGCCTGGGAGGGTGGTGTCCTGCTGAAGTCCCAGGGAGCGAGGGACTGACGGCCTGGAGCCTGCTGGTCCTTATCGGCGCCGGGAGGTGATGTCAAAGCAGGTGATCATCATGAGATGGGCCTTGCAGAAGTTGACACGGCTCTCCAGGCGCTCTGTCACGCCCTCTAGCGCCTCCAGGTATTCCAGGGAATCCAGCTGCAGGACTTGCTCCAAGTCAACTGAAAGAGAAAGGAGATCCTGGAGATGGGACAGCTACTCGTAGGGAGGGCTACCTCCCCCTCCTCCTCTGGGCTAAGGTCGCCTGAGGTGCAGCGCAATGTGAGTATTCCCTCCTGCCTGCTCCTCCTCAGCACCTGTCGGGGAATGGCACACACACTTGTCGTGGTGTCTAGCTCCTGAAAGTCAGAGATGGTTCTGAGGAACAGGGAGGTGGTCTAGAACCTTCCCATGTTTGCCCCAGCTGCCTCCAACACAGATTTGTGAGGTCCCCACTCTACTGTTCTGTTAACCAAGGCAAACAACTCTAGGGTGCTATGGCAGCAAGAGTCCGCCTTTCAGGAGTGGCGTTACCTGAGTGACATGCACACCACACCTCCCTCGAGAGAGCAGGCTCCCCTTCTTGTATTGTCACACTCACTGGTCACTGGGGAGGGGGGGTATGATGTTTAAAACACATGTATTAATAATTAAAATTCCCTTGAGCTCAAAAGGCAAGTTGAGTTATATAACCATGATGCCTTGCACCCAAGATCTTTGTCCATTCCCTTCCTCAGGGGCAGAGGTCTGGGGTCCCTTTGCCCCATTATGACTTGGCAGAGTGGTAGACGGCCTGGTCTTTGTTCCACGGGTACTGTCGAAGGTCCACACAGGGAGTGAAGCACGGACAACAGTGTGGGCGGCCTGGCAGGGGGTTCACACTGGAGTCCTAGCTGGGAAACATCACCTCAGCTGGCATCATTTCTTAAACAGCAACGCAAGTGGAGGAAGTGACGGGATTCCTGCCCTGCTCCTCCTGCCCACCTTGAGCTGCTGACAAGAAGGGCACCGCAGATGAGATGACGTGCAAACCACACCCTGATACAGACACACGAGGGTCTGTGGCGGAGTGGGGTTCTCTCTCCAGGGGCAGCCTTCATCCAGTCAGGAAGGGTCCCGGTTCAGTGTTCTATTGCCAGGATGAAGTGCAGCTCGAAATGGACCCCGGGCCCCTGCATCTCAGCCCAGAGCACTGAGATCAGAGCCCCACCCTACCGGAGCACACCAGGCGATATCACAGGCCCTGGAAAGAGGCCGCGGAAGGAAAAACTAAAACTGCAGGTGGATCCCCCACACATGGCCGTTCTAGCATGGCCTGCAGCCCATCCGGGAGCGTCAGCACACAGCCTCCTTGATTTTTTTTCCAATTCCTGTTTGAAATTTATCTTTTAAAAAAAAGTCCGTATTTCCCCCTTTCATGTAACCTTCTAACCGTTGTTTTTCTCAGCATCAAAAAAAGAAAAAATTACTGACTCTTGACATGGACCAAGGCAGGAAGAGAACACTCGCCCCCTCCAACCATCTGAGGTCCATGTGTACTGATAGGCAAACTCATTCGCATCCCAGAAAAAAAGAGGAAGTTTGGAAAATGACGATCATTTTCAAGCCTGCCTTGGGCATAAGCTGTTTTTGAAAAACGAAACTCTACGAAGCTGTTGAAAATGAGGGTTCTGCCTAAGGGAAGCCCCTGTGGTTAGGAAGGACCCAGGGATCCATGGGAGAAGGGAATGGGAGCAGAGAAGGAGAAAGAGGCCTCGGATGTATGCTGATGTCTCAGTCACATTTTAGATCATGTCCTTGTTCCTATGCTGGTCTTGTTCCACCTTAGAAGAAGACACTGTTGTTGGAAGAGTTTGTGTCATCGTCCAAATCCCCAACCAAGAAATTAACCATGTACCATGGAAGCAGGCATTGAAGTGTCTACCACCAGGAGCAGCTAGCTGACTGAACTCTGAAGTAACGGCAGCTCTTCCCGCCAGATGCCTTCCCTAGGACATGCAGCCTAAGCACTCTTTCCGGCTTAGACTCACCCTGTGAGACAGGCTTAGCCATTCTTCTTTTATACACTAAGGAAACCAAGACCCAGAGAGTCAAACACCTTCCCCAAAGTCACACAGCCCAGCATGTAGCAAAAAACCAGTATCCAAATCAGGTCTGTGGGGCCTTGAGCAGAGCCACAGATGCAGTGAAAAATAGGACTCTCTGCCCTATAGGCTACCAAGAAAAGGCAGTGTGACAGTGGGTTATTGCTCTCAGTGGGCACAGTCAGGAACTGGTAGATCCTGGCCCTTTTGTACCGGTCTCATTTCCACTCTGTTTTTAAACCGGTTCTTTGGGACCCAATCCTAAGCTGCCAGGCTCTGCCTGTGAGGGTCCTCACCAACAGGGAGCACCAGGAGGGGGTGACCTTAGGAGAAGAGTGTTCCAAAAGGGATGCGGGTAGCTGAGGGTTGGCGGGAAGAGCTGAGCAGGAAAGTCGGGCAGAGAGTATTTGTAATGCTGCTGATAGATTTTACCCATGGACAAGCCTGCCAGGATTGGTCCCAAATCAATGTACACGCCAGGGCAAAGTTAAGCCTTACTTTGCAGTAAATGGAATGATGAGGAACTAATAAATTAGAGATAATCCAAATCTCTCAAAAGGAACATTGAAAAAGGTAGCATTGTGGAAAGTTGCCAGGCGGTTAAGGGCACCTGGGCTTTTGGCTTGACGGGGACAACTCCAGGACCGGTCCCTCAGACTTACATTCACGAAGCCACTTGTTGGGGTCCAGCATCAGGTACTGTTTGGTTGCTTCCAGCTCCTTCATCAGCCACTCGTACTTGGCTCGGACCTCAGCGATTCTCTGCTGCCGATGCTCCAGGATTTTCAGCTTGGCGTTGAAGCACATGACCTCCTGCCCACAGAGGAAGGGGGTTGGTTGGAGAGGGAGAGAAGCAGAGGGCCTTCTGTTCTGACTCTGTCCTGCAGCCTCCTCCAGAAGGGAGGACTGGGAGAGGACCGATGACAAGAACCCAGCTTTCCAAAAGCATGGCAAGGAGCCTTGTGACCTTGACGGACAAGACACTCAACTCCCGGGAGACTACCGAAGGCTGTTCTCACCTGGAAGGCACACGGCCCCTTAAAATGTTGGTGTTCACTGGGATGTAAAACCTCAAAACAAGAAACCAGAGAAGGCCCTCAGCCCATCAGGCGGCAGCTCAGTAACACTTAAGGTATTCAAGAGAAGGAGCATACAGAGCCTATCCCACAACCCCCTGCCACCACCCACTGCCCACACTGAGCCTGGGAAGGCTCCCCTGAGGTTCTACTCCTTAGGGCAGGACCTGCCAGGAACTGGGACCCTAGGGAAGGAAGTGGCCTCACCTTGCTGGCGCCCCCTCTGCGTCGCTGAAGTCGCTCCACATCATCAATTTCATAGACTTTAATCTCAAAAGGTTCCCCAAGCCCCCTCTGGGTGCTCCTCAGGGGGCCGTCCACCCAGCGGACCCCTGTGCTGCTGGCAGTTTTTCTCATAGGTGATGGGGTGTCGAGGGACAACGCCGGAATGAGCCTTCGCCTCTGAGAACCTAAGGCAAGAAGAGGCCACAGAGGATGCCGGTGAGTTTGACCAGAAGGGATAGCATAGGGTTATGATGAACATCCCTCATTAGCCGCAGTCAGAACGGACAACATCCACCATCAGTTTTGGTGCCACGTGTGAACTCCTCCAGCCTCCCACTACCCCTTTGGCCTCTTAACTCATCGTTTGCTTTATCCCCAGATGAACAAAATCCTTGTTTGACCTTTAGGGCTACCTCCTACCAGGCACTCCCAGCATCCCCCAGCGTATGCAGGGAAGGACATGAGCCAGGCTGGCACAACCCAAGCAGGGCTGGGTGTTCTGATGAAGTCGTAGGTGTTCCGGCTACAGGAACAATGACCTAGTGTTTGGTACTGTACCCCGAGGCCCGCTGTAAGCGATGATGTCATAAACTATCCAAGAAGCCTTCTACTCTGTGAAGAAGACTGCAAGCTGCACCCCACTCTCAGTCGTCCTTCGCTATGTGGTGGAGATGATAGGGGGGACCTCTGGCCTCACACACAATGGAGAGAGTTCTGCCATCACATGTGGAGCTTCTCCATGTAGACAAGCCTAATCTTGCCTGATGTATGCACAGCAGCTTATTAGATCCCCACATGAGATGAGACAAGTACAAAGATGGCGGGCGCTTTTCCTGAGGTCTCGGTCTTCTCTTTGTGTGGAGGTTCATGTGTGGGCACAGGTGCTCACACACATGTGGACAGGTGTGCGGTGGCCAGAGGTCACTCCTCAGTCATCATCCACCTTGGGTTTTGAGACATTGGCATGGAGCTTGCTGAGTAGACTAGGCTAGCCAGCTAACAAGGCCTAGCTATCCACTTGTCTCTGTGATCCAGCACTGAGATTACACACATCTGACTTTTTCTTTATTTTCTCTCCTCTCCCTCTCCTCCATTCCTTCCACCCTCCCTCCCTTCCTTCTTTTTCCCCTTAATGTAGGTTCTGGAGATTGAATGCAGGTCCTCATACGTTTGTGGCGAGCACTTTATTACGCCAGCTGCCTCCTTAGACCCAGAATTCCTTACTTCACACACATACGTGAAGGCCATGTATTAATAGTCATTAATTGATTGCTGGCTTGTGGCACTTTCAGGGTGTGACTGTCAGAACCACTCTGAAGAGGTTGGTCCTAGTGGCAGAAATTTAGGTCACTGGGGGAATGTACCTTTGACATATCTCAAAACACAAACTATAAATTGCCAGTAAATAGTTGGGTGATGGTAGCACACGCCTTTAATCCCAGCACTGGGAAGGCAGAGGCAGGCAGATCTCTGTGAGATCAAGGCCAGCCTGGTCTATAGCGCTAGTTCCAGGACAGGCTCCAAAGCTAGGAGAAACCCTGTCTTGAAACAAAACAAAACAAAGAAAAATTGCCAATAAATATAGAAAACTGCTTAGTCTCATCAGCCACTAGAGAAACACATGCCAAAATTATATGGAATATGATTTTACTCCAGGCAGAATGACTCCTGGAGGATGGTGGTGAGATAGCCCAGGGTGTAGAGGTGCTGTCTACACAAGCTTGGAACATGAGTTCAGTTCCCAGAGAGAATCGACTGTGCAAAGTTATCCTCTGCCCACCACATGTGAACTGTGGCATATACGTGTACACATTCATGCACAGATGCATGCTAAGAATAAGAAAGGATTTATTTATTTATTTATTTATTTTGGTTTTTCGAGGCAGGATTTCTCTGTAGCTTTGGAGCCTGTCCTGGAACTAGTTCTTGTAGGCCAGAGATCTGCTTGCCTCTGCCTTCTGAGTACTGGGTTTAAAGGCATGCACCACTACCACTGCCCAGCAACAAATGATTTAAATTTTATTAGGTTAAATTTATTAGACTATCATTAGGAGAAAAAAAAACGTGGTGAGGATATAAATTAAAAGGGACTCTCACAAATTATTTGTGGGAATGCAAATTAATCCTGCCATTGTGGAGAACGGTAAGGACTAGCCTAAAAAGTTAGCAATGGATCTCCTATGTGATCTCACCATTCCACTTCTAGGGATGGATCCACAGGGAGTGAATTATGCCTATGAAAGAGACACCCGTGCTCGTATTTTTGGAACACTATTTGTAACAGCTAAGACATGGAACTGAACCCAGGTCTTCTACAAAAGCAGCACAAGCTTTTAACTACTAAGCCATCTCTGCAGTCCAAAAAACTGTCTGCAGTTTTGAGAGATTCAGGGACTACCAAGAAAGGTATAAATTTCAGCCTCTGACATCAGAGAGAAGGGGCCAGAACTCTTTAACATGGATGGAGGAGGCCAAGATGCAGGGCTACCTCCTCACTGACTGTCTGTCCCTGTGCCAAGGAGCTGGGGATGTGAATGCCCTTCACGTCCCTCTCGGGACACACAGAGGGACACCTGATACAGAGTGAACATAGTGAACACTTTCTACAAAGCACACTCTGCACACTAAGAAATATTTATTTTCACAGCCCTCATCTTTACCTCGTATGATCGTGCACACATGCACTTGTGTTATGCACTCCATGAGGATTCTTTTCTATCCTCCCCTCCAGGTTCCTGCTCTCTGTCTGTCTCTCTGTATCTTTCTATCACACACACACACACACACACACACACACACACACACACACACACACACACGTGCGCGCGCGCGTGCCTCTACCCGCCCCATCCTTCAATGCAGTGTAGGCCATGATCTATGAGACCAAGAAACATCAGCCCCAGGGGCAAAGCAAATGTCTGTCTGTTAGGGTCTAGCACCTTTATCTGGGAATAGATAAAATGATGCTTTTTTTTAAAAAGCCTAATCAAGCCAGCTAACTTCCAGCAAGCTGTCCGGCACCCTGTGTCTGAGTTCCAGCCTCTGTGATCTGGGAACCCTGCAGTTGAGCAGCATTGAGCACCAGAAAGGCAGGAGGAAGCACATATAAATGATAATGTGCACAGTCAGACCATAGCAAGGTGAAGCCCCTTTTTTTCACCTGCCCTGACAAAGCAGGGAATATCCCTTTAAAATTGAGGTCAGTGGTAGAATATGGGAGAGGGTGTCTATCAGTATCTGAGCTAGGTGCCCTCAGACAGCCTTGGGTATCATCAGGATGACTCTGGTTGCAGAGGAATAGAGGCAGAACTGAGCAAAGTCATGGAGTGGGATGATATATTAGTTAGCTACTGCTGTGTAACAAACGATCCCAGATGCTGAAACCTCCATCATTGAACTCACATTCCTGTGAAGCCAGCTCCTGGAGTATCAGTATGAGACCATGCCCTCAATCACTCACAGGGACACTACAAGTGAGACATTGATTGCCATACCATCATGGGATGGCATCATCAGATCCTTGGCACAGGATCTGAACATATCCACGCATACATAAAATCTTTGGGATTTTCCTCATGGTTTACCATCTCCACCTCAGAAGATGGTATTTCTAGCTTTTGCTGAACTTAATTTCTTTTCTAACTACTTCTTCCAGGTTGCTGGTGGGATCTGGGGTAGTGTCAGCAACAGAAAACCACGAGAAGTAGAAACCACCAGCCAAGTAGAAGCCCTAAAGCATACTGCCCCTTCATCAGCCAGCACATGGTCAAGACATGTAGACATTCAGTGCATAAACACAACACTTGAGTTGATAACTGTCTTCCTAAGTTTGTATCACGAATGGGTCAGGTTTGGTTTAAGAAATGCCTAACTGGCTGGGCAGACATTGTTTCCCACTGGGCCAGGTTGTCTTCACTCTAATTCAGAGCTTGAGGCTACACAGTGGTGTGTTGCCTACCAGAGAGGGCTGGCTAGGAACTGTGAAGAATCAATGAAAATCTACTCTCAATCTTCTTGGGAGTTTATAATGACTTTCCATTGCTGACTATGCTCTATTGTGTGCTTTTAGTGTAGTTCTACAGAGCTCTACAGAATGTATCTGTGTGTTCTTATTACAGTTCCCATGTGCTCAAGGGGTAATGTCACCTGGCTTGACCTTTTTTAACCTCTCACTATGCTCATTGAGAATGTGCCCCTTGAATGCACCCCACTATGTTGCAGCAAGTGGGCCATACACTTGCTGCTCCAAACCTGGGCTCCCATGATTCATTTTCTCAGCCTCCAAAGCCATCCACTCTATCTGTCTGTGTAAGGACAGGCTCTTCCCCTACAGCCGTCTTCACTTGCTTTGATTTGCAGGATCTTGCCTATGGCAGAAAGCTCCCTGTGCTGCTGGTCTGCACGATGCGCCCAGCGCGTGGCCGTATGTCTCTGTTCGCTGCTCTCTGAATATTTCACACCTCTCAGAGTTGCCTTGCACCCCACGAGGCTGCCCGACCTCCCACATCACCAGCCCTGTCTGGGAGTGGAGAGGATGCCTCATCAGTGTCCGGCAACTGCTGCAGGACAGATCCTGGGTGCCCCAGAGGCCACCGTTTTGCAGGTGTGGTCCTACAGAGTGACACTCTTTAGCAGAGGTAGAACGTTTGGAAGATGGGGCAGAGTAGGGGGTCTTGGGTAGCTGGGGACACGACTTTGAATGGAATCATGGGACTGCAGCTTCTTCCTCTCTTTTTACTCCCAACCACCACTGCTTCACTGTCTACTCCTGCTGGGATGTGCTCCCTCACCACTGGTCCAAAACCAAGAAGGTCAACGGATTATGACTGAACCCAGAACATGAAATAAGCCTCTCTCCTTTCTAAGATGATCATCTCAGGCGTCAGTTTATAGTAACAAAAAACTGTCTAATGCAATAACTAAAAATGAAGTTCATGAACATGGTTTTTCTATGAAAAGAATGTCAGACTATTATTTTTAGTTTTTTAATAATATGTCCAGCATTAGTTATCAAACCCACCACTTTTCTTGTACATAAGAAAATTGAGGCCCAGAAAGGCAAAATAAAAGTCACATAGTTCATGGTCCCAAATTTAATCTTTTCCATACACCGTGCTGTAAGCCCAACCTCACGTGCTGTTCGCCATAGTGGGTCTCTAGGAAGCGGCTTGAATGGTGGTGACACACAGCGGTGTTGGATGAACTCTGCTGCTACATATACGTCACACGGGATTCGGAGAGCTCGTGGCTATTTCCCAGCAACACAATTCTAGTTCTTTCTCAGTAAGAAAACAACTAAACTGCCGCAATTCTCCGAATGCAAAGGCGATCCCAGATAAAAGATAACTGCCTTCTTTGCAATTCTAAATCCTAGACATCTCCTGTGACTGAGGACTGGCCATCTAGTTAGAAGTACCCATTGAGGAGTCTTATGGCTTTTCTTAAAGAAGTTGTCTGTGATTTATGTTGATCGCGTCTGACAGCCAGCATCTCTCTTAATAACAATCATAAATAAGCCAGACAAGGTCACCTAACCTGAAATGAGCCCATCTTCCCAGCCGTATCCATCACCGAGCCCTCGGTCTACGGTGGCTGAGCACAGAGGTCTAACGCTTGGGATACCCCGTATTAAATCCCATCTCCAGCCCCTTCCCTGGCATTTTTATGTCACACCATTTTCCTTCCATAGCTTCTAAGAGGTCCCTCGGAGGACAACGGCTACGAAGGGAACTGGCCCTGGGCAAGGACAGGTGCAGTGTTCACTGCCTTGCTCTGAGCAGTTACGTACACTTTGCTTCCTTTTCTTCATTCGCTTCCTTGCTTCAGCCCAGCGTCACAGCCAAACCAATGTATTAAGAAGCCTTGACTAGAAAGTTTAAGGCAGTGGAAGAATAAAGTAGCTGGGTAGCAACGCACTAAATTAGAAAACGGAAACACAGTCCACCGGGAAAACACAGGTGAACCCTGAAGCGAGCCTTGTGCCGTTCTCCAGGCTTTGAAGACCAACACTGAGCAAGCAGTAATAACAAGGCCTGTCAATCAAGTACTAGGAAGGCTAGCATGTTTATTTCCCATGAAGACTGGTGTTCTTAATATCTTGCTATTTTCAGTAACTAATGCCAGCGCCTTTCATGGCTCCTGGCCCCGGGGATAGGCCACAGTGGCTGCCTTGTTGCACCAAGCGCTTGTCACTTGTCACCCCGTCTTTCATGGGGGTCGTCTGCAAAGCCGGAGACAGGGATGCAATAAGAGCTCAGTGTGAGCACAGCAGACTCAGAAACACACAGCCAGGAAGTGCAGATGCCACAGCGGCAGCAGCCATGACAGGGCCCGAGCCTGCCCGGAATGGAGGGCCCTCACTGCTGCCTCGTGCCTTGATCTGCAATAGCTGGACAGCTGGATGGGCCTCTCTATATCACGGCATATGGTAACGGGAAACCATAAGCTCACATTGTCCCTTGAGATGGAATTCTTTGATCCCAGGAAGACAAATGGTTTATGGTGGGCATTGATCTCAGCCCTTATGTGGACCGGTTCCTTGCAGAGCTTGGGGATTACAGCTGGCAGGAAACAGGCAAAACCAATCCCACGGCAGGTAGTAGAGGCCCGCGGGCTGTTCCTGCAGCAGCTACCATTGAGAGAAGGCTCCGTGTCTGCCTGTCATCCCATCTCTTAATCCTGGCCAGGCTGGTGGCACTGACACACATGGCAAAGGGTCAAGAAAGCTCTCGATTGCAGAGCCTGGCAGGGCATACAGGACAGTGAACAGGCTAGACAGGCCACGAGGACATTATACTCCACTGTCCTCACTCAGCAGAGGTTCAGGAGTATACATGGGGCAAATGATTTTATTTAATTAAGAAAAAATCAGAAGCTTCTGCACTAAGGAATTGATAGAAACAATTTCTTTAGCATCCAGTGAAGAATGGATGGTTTCAGGAAAGATTCTCATGGTATCTAAATTATTCTCAGTACCTTTGCCTTTGTCTCTGAATTTCCCTCCTGACTGTCCTCTGAATTCATGAACTCCATGGCACCTGGGCCACCAGCTCTGACCTTGGTCTTCTTTTTGTCCAACATAACTTGCTGTCACATGTCCACCCCAAACTCCAAGGAACCCATCAGTAGCTCAGATGTCAGGTACCTTCTGATGGCATACTCTGGACATGGCAGAGAGTTGCCCTACAAGCAGGTGGGCAGGACAGCATGGACACCTACTGCCTATCACTTAGGGAGGGACACTACAGGAAACTATGACTGCCATGAGTGTGTTTTGGGTGCCAGTGGAGACTAGCCCTCTTCCACCCCCGTTCGATGAAATGACGTGCCCCGTATCTCCATGAGGGGGATCTGTAGGGTCTTGGAGGCCACCAGCCTCACATTCAGCCTTCTGTAGTCAGAAGGGCAGGGGCTCTGACCCCTCAGAAGGCTCTAGAGGGCGGTATTCTCGGCCTTTGAGTAGAAACGCGTGCACGTGAAGGCAGATGTGACGGAAAACAGAACAAGCAAGAATGAGCTCCCTCCTGACACCCCCACAGCTAGTATCCCCAGTACTCAGGCCTTCAGGAAAGTCTCTGGGGATTGTGTCCTCAGTAAAGGTCCCAGGTGGCAGGACACTGAGGAAAGGGAGCCCAGGACTCCAGCTCCAGTACCTGGACACACTCCCATGACTGGTCAAGAGCAAGGGAGATGAACCTTGCTTCCATCCCAGATGCCTCTGTCCTCCTAGCCCATGCCTGGCACCTACCTGAATTGGATCGCTTCTTTGGGGTCTTGAGGCTCCTGCACCTCCCTCCGACGGAGCTGCTGTTCTCACTCATGGAGTCCTGGGCGGAGGATGCGCTGCCGGTGGCCTCGCTGTCCCGTATCATACTCTCATAGCCACTGCTGCCGCCGCTGTGGTAGAACAAGGCCGTCTTCCCCATGGCAGGCGGCAGCTCCCCGCTCAGGACGCTGCTGTTGTCACTGCCATGCCCGCTGCTGCAGCGGTGAGGCTTCCGGGGAGGGGTGATCTTGCTGTAGGGTGAGGGCAGAAGGTGGGCAGCTGCAGGCTTGTCCTCCGCGGGAACGCCACTGGGCTCCTCTGCCTCTGCCCGCAGCTGTGCGCCCCTCGGGCCCGCACTGCCCTGCAGCAGCTCGGAAATGCGCCCATTGACGGCTCTCAGGGGCAGTTTGGAAGCCAGCCCAGAGCCCCGGTTTCTGCTGAGCGACTGTGTGGACCAGGACATGTGCTTCCCACTGGGTGGCAGGTTGGAGCTCTGGCCCACAGACTGTGGCAGGGACTTGGTAGAGAAGCTGAGGGTTTTGGTGGTTGAGGTGGACAGGCTGCGGGATTTGGGACTGGCCAGCAGGAGCTTGCTCACTGCCGAGATCTTAGACTGGCTGGCCTTGGGAGAGGCCCCTGCAGGCTGGGTGATGCCACAGCTGGGTGGTGAGGCCCCTGTACTGCGACCCAAGCTCCTGCCAGTGCGAGGCATGGTACTATCTTTGCCCACATGCATGCGGGAGCTCACGGATGACAGACTTTCCGCTCTTTCCAGGGACAAGCATTCATAGTGGCTGACTGTTGTCCTGCCAAGAGAGTTGGTTCTGCTGGCCAGCTGCTCCAGCTTGGCGCTGAAGAGCTTACTGCTGCTACTGGCATCCTTGGTCTTGCTGTTGGACTCATCAGGGAAGCCAGCCAAGAAGGTAGCCGGCTGGTTCAGTGGGCTGCCGGTGCTGCTGCTGCTGCTGCCACTGTGTTGAGGGCTGGCCCTGTTCTTCTGATCCAAGCTAGATTTGCGGACAGGAGGCAGAGGCGGTGTCCCTTTGGGCCGTGCCAAGACACAATGCTTGGGTGATGCTACCTTCCTCTCCAGTGTTGTCTTCGAGGACTGGATACCCAGAGCCCCGCTGAAGCCATTGCTGTCCGCCAGGCAATGGTAGAAGCTGTCCAACGCCTCATGCCTGTCAGCTTTCTGAAATGCCCTTGGGAGGCTGCTTGACTTGAGGTTTTTGTTGGAATGGATGGGACTTTGGGTCCCCAGGCCAGGCAGGGCCATCTCACAGCCATCTACAACTCTCCTGATGTTGTCAGTCACCTGCAAGGTGGATGCCTCTCCGCTGCTGCTGCTGAGCCTGTCACTGGAGCTGGGCCTGCCATTCGGCTCCTGTTCTGACTTACCTTCAGTCGTCAGGGAGCTTGTGACGGCCTCGCCCCTCACCCCTTCCTCACCCGGGTAAACGCTCTCCTTTTTTACCTCTTCTTCTCGTTTTAGCCAGGGATCCTCAAACTTCATCTCTCTCCTTGCATTGGCTTCCTTGCTTTCCTGGGACTGAGCTGTTTTGGGGGCTTCCTTTGGGGTGGCAATGGAGGACTCAGACTCTTGCACATTTCGGGGGCTCATGGCAATGCAGGGGTAGACCGTGATATTGGTCTTCATGGGGATGTAGCCTTCACAGCTGCTCAGGTTGGCCGTGTTGGAGATGGTGACCATGGCCTTGCCCAGGGTGGAGATTTTGCAGCCTTTGATGGGAGTGGCTTTGTTGACAGATTCTTCCCCTGTCTCAGACAAGATGAGTAGATTGTCAGGGCCCACCTCGGGCTTCTCTCTGCATACCACAGCGGTGTTCTGGATGGTGTTGACGAATTCCGTGACTGGGGGTTCTGCCATGGCTTCCCCATGCCCGAAGCATGTCTGCGCTATGAAGCTGTGGCAAGACTGCTCACCATCGCTGCCTGTGCTCATCTCGCTTAGCCAGGAACTGATGGAAGAACGCCGGCTGCCTGCTTCCCGCGTCTTCTCATCCAGGCCCAGCTTGGGGAGCGGCAGGAACTGCGTGATGCTCACCTCCGAGACGGGGGCCATGCTGGAGTAACATTCCAGGTCTTCACTGATGCTGCTGATGATGCTGACAGGCCGGGAGCCTGAGGCCAGGGCCTGTACGGAGCAGTCGCTGTTGAAGCTGATGATGCTGGTGGGGCGGCCACTGTCAAGCACCCCACTGATGGTCAGCTCCTCCACCAGTGTAAACACCAGCTCATCCTCCCCGTTCAGTTCCAGTGGCTGCTGCACGGTCACCATCGTGGTGCTCAGAATCTCTTTCTTGGAGTCTGCAGGAGGACCTTCCTGGTGCCCATCTTCAACCAGGGTTCCAGAAAATCCTTCACTCCCAGAAGACATGGATTTCTTCAAAACCTGGGGACTCATTCCAACCGGGGGAGTACGGACGTCAGGCTGAAGCAAGGACTCGCTGGAGGCCATGCCAGAGTCTTTGCTCAGGGAAGGTGGTGGGGCTGAGGAAGGCAGGACCCCCTTCTGGGTGTAAACTTTGCATCTCTGGGAGGGAGAGCTGGGGGGTTTGTACTCTGAGGTCTTGGACAAACTGGCAACACCTAGCCGTGGGGAGCCCATGGGTCTGGGCTTGCCCTCCACAAAGCCACATGAGTTCAGACTCTCCCGGCTGCTCTGGAGACTGGGGCTCTGTGTGAGCTGGGAGGTACTGTGCTGGCTACTGCTGCCCGGGATGCTCCGAGGTGAGGCGGGACTAGGGCTGCCGCTCCTTGTCACAGTGGGCACAGGGGACCGTCTCTGCTGCACCTTGGAGGCTGGAAGCTCTGTGCTTTCCCTGTCGGTGGGCAGCTGGCCATTGTCTGAGCCGTTATCTTCCCTATCAGACTCAGAGAGTGTATCTGGTCCTGCTGCTTGGCTTAAGGAAGCACATCTACCTGCCTGCTCCGGCCCGAACTGGATGGGCAGCTCTTCGAAGGGAAACTTGCTGGGCTCCTCACTGCCGTCAATGCAATCTAGTCTTTCCTGCAGCTCAGCAAAGGTATTGCACTTCAGACAGTCCCTTTCCGACTTGTTAGTTGCAGCCTCTGTTGCCTCCACAGGGCGGCTGTCACCCCTAGTCTTCTGTAGGGCCGGCACAATGGGCACAAAGTCTGGGGGGCCCTCGTTGTCAGTAAGCTCCTTGTCAGACAGGGCCGTGCCGTTGGGCCCGATGTAGATGACAGTGTCGCAGGACTGCTCACTGCTGGAGGAGTAGTCAGGGTCACTGGACAGCGGGGCGAGGGGGAATTCAGGATCCACCGAAGCCCGGGCATGGAAGGGTCTCAGCTGGGTAGGCCTGCGCATTCTGCCCTCCTCACAGGAGCTTTCTCCCCCCGAGGAACTCGATGTGTACTGCAGTGTGGGCAAGAGAATCATTAATGGGGAGTTCTCTCAAGACAGCCCTCCCTTCTAGGGAGCCTGTGCCATATGGCAGGTGCAAGCTGCTAACTAGCCCTAGGTTCTTGAAGATCTGCCTGTGGAGGGGCCAGTAGTCACTGGGCTGTGCCAGGACACCTTCCAGTCTCATCCCATGGGTCTGTGTCCCATTTGTACAATGGTGAATTAGCTTGCTTGGGAAAGGTGGTGACCTATCCAGGCACCACCTAACTTCCTCAAGTCTATTCCCCTGCCTCAGACCACTGACCATGAAGACTTACTTGCCTTGTATATACATAAAAAGAATACACAAAGGAGAAAGTCCCAAGCATCACTAGTTGGCCCATAATGTTTTTTTCAAGCTGTCCTGGCTTTGCTTCTGCAAAGGAAGCGAACCTACCAACATCTATCAACTCAGCACAATGCAGAATCCAGCAGATTAATGTGAGAACCCACAGCCTGAAGGCTCCTGAACATTTAGGGGTAGCAGAACCATATAAGTGGGCATTAACCATCCTCTCTGGAGGCAGCTCACCGAATGCAGCCCTCACCCATGTAGGGTCACGGAGAAGACTGGTTCCTTCCTGCCCCTCAAACATTTTTCATCTTGCAAAGGCAATCTATTAAAATAGTCCCTATCAGGAGTCAGGGTGGATAACCCAGGACAGCATCAACCATGAAAAGGAGACTCAGCTTTCTCCTGTGTTGGTCAGAAGGCTTTTCTCTTCTGAGACGCTGGCTGCAGCTGCCACATTTGCACAGTCCCTGGCGCTCAGAGACCGGTGGTGCTGATGGACTTTTCGTGATTCTCTTCCTATCCCCAACATATTCCCCCTCCCACAGAAGAGCCCCTTACCTTAGTCTTCTTCTTCTTCATTCTCAAGACCCTTGATGCAATCTGGATGGTGGACAGGGTCTCCGCGTAGCTGCCGGCTGCGGCCGAGATGTGTGCGATCATGGTAGTGCGACAGTTCACGTTCCCCAGAGACTCTCTCAGGAGCATGGTGAGCTTGCTCTCCCTGCCAAACAAAGTGGATTAAGGCTGCATTAGAGGGCCATGCCTCATGCTGGCTGTCAGGGCAGGACTTCAGGTTTGCGCGTGGCTATTTGGTTGTGGGTGGTGGTTTTCTTCCTTTTTTTTTTTTTTTAATGGCATACTAATTAGCATTGCTTTGCAGCATGGGGCTATTTGTAGTTGGCAGCTGAGCAAGTGCTTCTAACTCCAAGGATGGGATTCATGCAAACACCTCCCTTGGCACTTCTGTCCTGGCCATGATGGGCTGTTCTAGTGTGTCTGTTGTGTGCATCTGACATCGCACATAATGAGGCCTGGGAATAGAAACAGGGAGAGGGGATCAGGAGAAAATGGCTTTGTGACCAGTGATCTGGCATGCTATCTGCACACACAGTCCTTTGTAGCAAGTTTCTGCACACTGGCAATCCCTATAATGGAAAATGATGCTATGAACTTGCACGGAAGTCCCAAGAGTTTCTAATACATACAAAATCCCCTCTATAGCAGAGTGGCATGCTACAGTCATTGCCTCTCAACTCTGCTATTTGTGCCCAGTATCACTGAAGGGAAAGACATCGGTATTCGCGATAAGTAGAGAAATGCAGACACAGCCCAAATAGTCACTTAGCAACAGCAGAACTTTCTAGAAAGGTTTCCTCTGGGAACTTGGCAGTTGCTATGTGGAACCACTATCTTGGTTAGTGATAACAAGGCCCAGGGCATTCCAGAGGCTTTCTAGGCTCTTTAAGAATTGACCGGAAGGAATGGCTTGTGTTTTTCCATTCCTGTACTTACTCCAGCGAGATCCTGCCCTGCTCCCTGAATCCTCCCCATGCATGATCTCTCACTAGGTGAAATGCCATTTTATCCCTAGAGCACGCCCTCTGGAAGGCCGGGGCGATCTCTGGGTTTCCTATGGCTGTGTTTCCTATTCAGATGGGTGGGGTCCTCCTCAAGACCATGTCCCTGCAGAATTCCCTAGAGAGGGACCATTCAGCTCAGCAGACGGTGTGGAAAGCGGGCCACTGCCAGCACAAAACGTTTTATTTTATTTATTTTTTCCATAGGACTTAAATCTGGCTTCAGGAAGAGAGATGGTGGCACAATCATTTCTTTTCATACCTGGGACCAATTAAGTTGTTCATTTGGGAATAATAGGTTGCCACATTCCAGCTCCAGACAATTTATAAATAAAACAGGGCAAAATGAACAGGGATAGGAGCTGTGAAAGAAGGGGGCTTGGGGGAGTATCTGACCACATTTAACGCCCTTCAAAGGATACCACTCAGGAATGTCACAGGAGGGAGGTTGAGGCCCAGTCCTAACAGACACGTAGCCGAGATGGTGTACCTGAGTGAACCACAGGAAGGGGAAGATAGATTCCACTTGGGCTAGGATGTGACCATATGTAGTCAACTCTGAGAGTTCATGGCAGCGACACACTATAAAGTCCCACGGGACACTGATAGGTTACCTTGTTTTAAGCAAAGTTTCTATTGAAAAGCACCTTATTTAATATCTGATTTTTAATAAATAATGATGTACATACAATATGTCTTTATGATAAAATACTATCAGGAGTGTTAAACAATTCCCTGGCCCTGAGACATATGACAGCAGATGTCTGATGTCAGTCTCCCGGAGCTCTGCCCAGGGTTCTCCTCTTTAACTGCTCAGCAGCGGAGGAGTCTACAGATCCAGCCTCTTCGCCTTTTCATAGCTTCATCAGGACCTGTAGATGTGCCCTGCACCATCTCAGGAGAGGCTTCACCTAGAGTGGGCACATTCCTCTTTCTCTCTGGCTACATCATACTATTGATGCATTGACATTGGACTTGCAGCCAAAAGCACATTAACTCATACCTGAATGAAGCTTCTCTAAATCCCCTATTTTCTCCACAAGGCACCGTGCACCCTCTTTGTGCTCCATTCTATCAGAAAGCACTTCAGTGACAGGCTGGAGAATCATTTGAAACAGTGGAATTGAGCTGGAGACATGGCTCAGAGATTAAGAGCACTGACTGTTCTTCCAGAGGTCCTGAGTTCAATTCCCAGCAACCACATGGTGGTTGACAGCCATCTATAATGAGATCTGGTCCCTCTTCTGGCATGCAGGCACACATAAAGGCAGAGTGTTGTATACATAATAAATACATAAGTCTTTTAGACGAAAGTGAAATCATGGATAGAAAGCACAAAACATTCAAAAACATAGAAGGTAGCATTCACCCTGTGACATCTCAGTGGGGAACACAAGCGTCAGGGTCTCAAAAATTTCCCCCACCTTGTGCATAATTCTTAAGTCACCATGAAAAACACCAGGAATATTGACTTGGAGATTGCAAAGAAATGTTATCAAGTAGGCAATGTGCAACTATGGAATCTACAAATGTCCCCCCAGATGACTAAACTATGAAGTTCCTTGTGGGAAGTCTTGCTAATCAATGCACATGACCAAAGGCACACGCTCCCGGCTCTCCATAAGACTCTGTGTCAGGGAAAGATCCCAAGTCAAATAGCATGATACAGTATTCCACCACTGCTGTCCCGTGCTCCACATCATCCACATGTGGGATACAGCTGTAGATAAATATCTGTGGCTTTTTAAAAAAGAGTCCATATGGCTGGAGAAAGCCATGACGTGTATGTTGCTTGGCAATCGATATCTTTGCAATCTTGTGGAAAGAAAGTCAGCAGAACTGCTAGCCAGACTGGCACGGGTCTCTATCACAGGGGAGTGCAACAGACAGCTAGGAAACGGTGGTCTGTTCAGCTTCAAGGTGATGCCTTGGCTTGGAACAAAGACAGCTGAGAAGGCAGGTGAAGAAGGGATAGGTACCAACCATCACCAGCTACAGGCTGGGCTGAGCATTCTAGAGGGGACTCAGAAGGCTCTGAAGAGCATTCAGGATGACAGTCACCACTAGGTCAAGACTGAAGTGACAGGAAGAGAAGCATGGAGAAGCTTACTGCCACGGCCCCAGTGCCAGGCTACCTGGAGGAAGCAATGATATGGGGTCCCATCGCCCTGGAGAACTGATTGGTTAGCAGCAGGAAGAGCCGGTGATGAGGCAGAGCTAAACGCACCTGCGAAGGGACTGGCTCACTTTTCCACGCAGTTACCTTTTATGAACACAGATCCCAGCTCCTGCCTGTCCTGGCCACGCATATCTTTTAAAACAACTACGAAAGCAGTCTTGTTTTCAAAAAAAGATAATCCTTTTATTAGATAAAAGGATAGGAAGAGAGAGGAATAATTAACACATTAATGTTTTCCACTGCTGGGGACGGAACCCATGGCCCTGAATATGTGGCAATCACTGAAATATGACCCCAAGCCAAAGAACATATTTAATTATGGATAAGTTTTCTGAGCTGGAGTCTCACTGTAAACCTCTGGCTGTCTTCAAACTCACAGAGATCTACTTGCCTCTGCCTCCTGATGTCCGGATTAAAGACACGTACCTCCATGCCTGGTCAGTAATTCTTCAAGAACACATACTGCTTTAGAACAGGTGCAAACAAACCAGGGCCATGCAGGGCAAACTGGGTTCACTTCTTGTTCTCATAAACAGAGTGTTATCTAGTTGTTCATAGGTGCTATAGCAAAGCTCACAAGTATTTACCTCATGCTTTGTAGAAGAATGTTTCTGTCCCTACTGTAGAGTAATGACACATGGTCTCATCATTACTTAGACAGAATTATCAGCCACTAAATGTGCCTTGGGTTCCATAATATTCTATAATCTGTATTTGATAGATAGCAATCTGTGTTGGCCCTGTGTGTCTATCTAGATGTTCCGTGAAGAAATAGCTAAAGTCAATTCCACAGAAACGGACAAAGAGAAAGTACTTAGCTTTAGAAATCACTGGCGCACCAGGCCCCAGCCATCGTTACAGCTCATACTGCTTCCTGCTCCATGCAAAGGCGATCTGAGCTCACTAAGGGACT